TAGACAGTGTAAGAACCTCTTTTGTTTATTGATAACAGACAAGCATTTTGGTAGAATAAGACATAGTCTTAAAGGCTCTCTTCAATGTCTTTCAATGAATATGTTAAAATCATGAAAGATTCTTTGGCAGATGCAACCACGTAGTCAGCTTAGAGAAGTTTAATGGGTACCTGTTATTTTTATGATAGTACGTAAGTTCCTTGAGATCAGAAACCATTTCACTTATCCCTGGTACCAATATTAAGTGAAACATAAAACAGGAGTTGAATGGTTATCAAAGATATTTGCAGTTGTTATGGATGATGTACTGTGCAGAGGCCAAATGGAAGAATTAACTCATCAGTCAATGCATATGTCTTTGGCAGGCCCTCAAGGTGGGTTATGACCCTGAATTGAATAGGGAGAGAAGTAGGAGATACATTGCAATTAGGAAATTGCATAGTGATCTCAGGCTACTTCCTGACACTCTGACCTCTTTCTTTAACATAACTTAATGATAATTCTATATCACTGCAAATCATGGAACATTGTGCTTCCTGAGCCTTACTTTGCTCACCTTGCAGGCTGCGGCTGATCCCCTGGGAGTTGAGGTTCAATTTTGGGAGGAAATGAAACCCTTGTGCAACATCTTACAATTAACAAAAGTCAGTTAATAGGCATTAAGTATTTACTTTGTGTTAGAACTGTGGTAAGTATTGGGTCTACAAGGAAAGGCAGAAAACAGTAACTGCCTTCAAGGAGCATGCATTCTAGTTGGGGAGAGAACATGTAAAAAACTAAGTTCATAAAAGATATATGCATGAAAGTGATGAAGGTAATCTGAAAAGGGAAGACATTAGTAATTGAAGAGATCAAAAAAAAGCCTCCTGAAAAAGATAGGATTTGAGCTGAGTCTTGAAGGAAGTCAGGGAAACTGAGAGACTGAGGTGAAGGGGCAGAACATCCAGGCAAGAGGCCAACCAGAGCAGCAGCATGGAGACAGACGATGGAGTGTTGTCTTTAAGGAGGTGAAAGTAGGCCAGCACAGCTGGATGGAAGAGTACATAGAAGGGAGTCAAGTGTATAAAGACCAGAAAGGTAAGAAAGGACCAGCTTATAAAGAGCTTTAAAATATTTCTTTAATGAAATCTTTTTTTTTTCACATCATCATAATTCCCCCATTGTCTTCCGCTTTCCTCACTTATAGTAGCCATGCCATATAACAGAATTTTTTTTAAAAAAAGAAAAAGAAGAGAAAAAAGTTAGCAACATCAATATATTGAACAAGTTTAAAAATATGTGTAGTATAAAACACTTTGTGGAGCCCTCACCTTGGCAGAGCGATGGAGTAGGAGTAGTATCTTCTTATATCTCTTCTTTGTAATTTCGCAACATTCACTTATGATTTTTTTTTTGGTGATTGTCTTTTCCATTTATATTGTCATTATGTGTATTGTTTTCTTGGCTCTGCTTACTTCACACTGTATCAGTTCATATAAATCTTTACATGTGCCAATTCATCATATTTGTTATTTCTTACAGCACAGTAATATTGTATTGCATTCATGTACAGTTGTATAGCTGTTACCCATTTAATAAACATCTACTTTGTTTTCAGTTCTTTGCTATCAAAAAAGGTGCTGTTATAAATATTTTGGTGCATATAGAGACTTTCTTTTTATCAGTGGTCTCCTTGGGGGGCCTAATAGCTCCTAGGCTTGGGATAAGCCTAGTAGTGGAATTTCTGAGTCAAAGGGTATAACAGTCACTTTATTTGAATAATTCCAAATTGCTTTCCAAAATGGTCTTATTGATTTGCAGCTCCATCAGTAATATACCATTGTGCCTATCTTAAGAAGAGCTTTTAATGCCAGTCACAAGGCATTATATTTGATCCTGGTTGTGATAAGGATCCACTGTAGCTCATTGAGCAAGGGAGTGACCTAGTCAGACCTATGTTTTAGAAATTTAGCATCTTGGCTGCTGCTGAGTGGAAGATAGATTGCAGTAGGGAGAGAATTAAAACAAGAAGAACAATCAAAAGTCTTGCAATAGACCAGACAAGAGGCGATGTGGACTTAAACAAAAAGTTGTGGCTGTACAAGTGAAGAGAAGGGATTAATAAGAGAGATGTTGTGAAGGTAGAAATGACAAGATTTGGCAATGGACTGGATATGTGGGGTAAGTGTTAGTGAAGAATTGAGGATGACACTGAGGTTGTGAGTTTGGGTTACTAAAAGGATGGTAGTGCTTGTAACTGTAATAGGAAAATTAGGAAGAGGGGAGGGTCTGGGAGGAAAGATAATGAATCTTAATTTGGACTTGTTGAGTTTTGGGATGCCTACATCCAAGAGGTAGTTGGAGATGTGTGACTAGTTTGCACAAAGGCTAAGGCTAGATAAATAGATCTGGAAATTGACTGTGTAAATGACAGTTGACCCCATGAGGCCTGGTAAGATCACCAAGTAAGATCCTAAAGAACAAAAATGAAAAGGGGGCCCAGGATAGAGGGACGCTTGGGTATGACATGGATAAAGTGGATAAAGAATGAGTAAAGGATACTGAGAATGAGTAATTAGTTGGATAGATGAGGCATAGTTGTGAAAACGTAGAAAGGAAAGAGTATCCAGAAGGGGTTGATTGACAGTGCCATTACCTGCAGAGTAACTCCTCATCTCTTGCCTGGCTGCACTACTTTAGGACTTCATTGACTTTTCTGCCATTACCCCAGTACTTTTACCACCCCAACTATCTCCTAACCTTTTCAACTTCCTTTTGTGTTTTGTCTTCCCCCTTTGGATTGTAAACCCCTTGAGAGCAGGGACTGTCTTTTTTGTATTTGTATCCCCAGCACTTAGCACAATGCCTGGCTCATAGTAGGTGCTTAATAAATGTTTATTGATTGAGTGATTGCAGAGTTCAAGGAATGAAAAAAGACCATAAGATTTGGCAACTCAAAGATTACAAGCAGCTTTGGAGAGGGCAGTTTCATTTGAATGGTGAAGTTGGGAGCCAGATTGCAAAAACTGAGTAGAGGAAGTTAAGGCACTGAGTGTAGCTGACTTTCAAGAAATTTAGTTGAGAAAGGGAGGAAAGAGATGAGACATTAGCTAGTGTGGATAGAAGGCTATACAGTTTTCTAGGATGAGGGAAACATGAGCATGTTTTTAGACAACATGGAAGGAGCTGATAGATAGAAATTAAAAATAATAGAATGAGGATGATAGTAGGGACAATTTGCTGGAGAACTTAGGAAAGAATGGAATCTGGAGTACGTGTAGAAGGGTTTGCCTTGGCAAGAAGGGCCACCTTTTATAATTTTAAAGGAAGATATCTGAGTGATATGAGATGAACAGAAGGAGAGAAAGGGAAACTCTAGGCAGATGGTCTCATTTTTTTTCCATGAAGCATAAGATGAGGTCCTTGATTGAGAGGGTAGGAAGAAGAGAGGCTTGAGGAGAGATGAAAAGGTTTAGTATAGCCACTGTAGAGAGGGGTGTAACAAAAAGATTATGGAGGAATAGAATATTTGTCTTGCTGAAATGAGGGCCCAGTTGAGATCAGATGACATAAATTTGTAATAAGCTCAGTCAGCATAAATTAGTGATTTTTTTTTCCAGTTCTGTTCAGCAGCATTTGAATATAGGTAATCAAATGTTAGGGTTTGATAAAGCATGATTGGGGTATAGGATAGTGTAGACTTGGTTCACCAAGAGGTTAAGATTGGGGAGGAGAGTATAGCCAGTACAGAGTTGATGGCATGGGAAAAAACTAGAATTGATGAGAGTGAAGGTCATGATGAAAATGAAGTAGGAGGTTTGGAAGTCAATAAAACATAGAAAAAGATGGAATGATAAAATATGATTAGATAAAGGAATTTCAGAGTTCTTGAATATGGAAGTGAAATATTTGTGGGTGAAAGCAAGATGTGTTTCCATCTCTGAGTTTGGCTGAATTAGAGTAGATCAGTAGGTCATAGGAATGGAATAGATTGAGAAACTGGGAACCGAGACTGGGTTATCTGTAGGGATATTAGTATCCCAGAAATCCCTTAATATGAGGGCAGGAATTGAGTAGGAGAGAAATACTGTGAGTCTAACACTGAACTCATTGAGGAAGGAAGAAGAATGTCCTGGGGGATCTATAGAATATCTGGATTGGATGTTGAAACTTAAAGGAGAGCTTGCTTAGTGAAGATGGTCAAGGGAGGGTCATTAAATGTCAGCAGGAAGCAAAGAGGTCTTTTGGGAGAAATTATATAGATAAGAATTACAAAAGATGAGGTAGTAGGGATGGATTGGCATCCGCATGGACAGAAGGAAGTACTGTGTCCACATTAATGAGATTATAGCTCTATTGAGGTATAAGCCGTATGCAAAGGAAAGCCCTGTAAATGTCAAGATATTAGTCAGTCCCATCCACCTCTTCTTTTTCACATTAATTATACTATGCCTGCATGGAAGGGAAACAGTCTTCATTGTGTAACCTCCTAACTCTGTTTACCACATCATTGTATAAATCCTGCCCAATTGTAGTTGCATAAACCTGTTCTATCTTTTCAGAGGCTTCAGTGCCAAAATATCATCCTAATATATCCTTTATGTTTGCATAGAACTCGACAGTTTTCAAAACATTTTCACAAAGATTATCTCATTTAATCTTCATAACAACCCAATGAGGCAGGTGGCCTTATATGATTTTTTTATAGATGAGAAAACTAAAGACTTAGATTATAAGTAACCTTAATCTACATTACCAGGTTACATGTCCAGTAAACAGCAGAACAGTGACTGGAACCCAGATCTTATTCATAATCTAGTGTTCTTTTTATTATACCACTCTGTTTCTACTTTAAAATTTTGAGAAATGTGTTTTGTGTTGGAGAAAGTAAATGATTTGATAAGAGAGAGTTTCATAGTCAATAATTCTGGAAAATCATGTCATTGAAATCTATACTATTTTAAAGAATGAATACAATTGAAAATGTTAATTTATTTCTAATTTTTAAATATTTACTGTAGGTTTCCATGGATTGATATATGATAATAAAACTGAGTCAATGAGGACAATTAACCTCCTTGAACGAATGAATATTTACCAGGAGGTTTTTCTCAGCATTTTATATAGAGTTCTACCTATACAGGTACACTTTGGGTTTCTTTTGTGTCAATTAAATATCATCACATGAAAGTGACAATTTACTGTTTTGAATTGCATTTCCTATTTTGGTTCTTCAAATCTGTATCAGTTATCTACAAATCAGCTTTTAAAATACAAATGTTTTCACTTTCATGGTCTTTGTTTTTTATTAATATGTTATAATGCATTTTTCATGTTCACACATATAGATATAAAGCTTGCAATAATATAAATGTGTAGTTTAAAGGATATTCACTTTAAAAGTTAGTATAATCTCTTACTTACCTCTAAGGGAAAACATCTCCTATTTACGTTAGTGTCAGAACTCGGGTGCCTCAACTCACAAAGAGTAGAGACAAGTTTTTTTTGAAACAACAGTGACCTGGGAAAATGAGGAAAAATTGGGCTAAGTTCAGACGAAATTATTTGGATTGCAGAATAACAAAGAGGACCTCGTGGGCTGTTCTTTGCCCCTTGCTGGCAGGAGGAAGTATTGCTAACATTTTCTTGGATGCAGAGGAGAAAAGTGGGCTCAGAACTCCTTGGAGTTAATGTTGGGCTCCTGACCTAAAAATCTCTTATTTACTATTTTTTTTATAAATTTATGATGACAAGAGGAATTAAAAAAAAACTTCTTATGCTATACTTCTCTCTTACAGACATATTTAGAGCCTGTTTATTTTTATATCTACACTTTATTTGGACTCCAAGCAATGTATGTCACAGCTCTTTATGTAACCAGCTGGCTTCTTAGTGGAACATGGTTGTCAGGGCTGTTAGCAGCTTTGTGGTATGTTATAAATAGGTAAGTTGGATTGATATTTCTCTATACATACATATTTCCTTTCCTGGCTGGTAAGAATAAAGATTATATTTAACAGCATAATATGGTGGACTAAATGTTAGACTTGGAGTAAGGAAGACTTGGATTCAAATTCTACCTCTAACACTTAATAACTCTGTGACCCCTAGAGATAAGTTTTGAATTTTAGTTTCCTGATTGCTAAAATGAAGGTACTAATACCTGTAGTTTTTACCTGAGAGTTATTGTGAGTTTTAAACTTGTAAATCCCTTCATAAATCTTAAAGTGCTACGTAATTGTCAACTTTTGTTACTTATAGGAAAAAAAAGAGTTTGTTATTTTCTGTCCAACAAATAATAGCTTATTCTATATTTTTCTGATGAAAGTTTTATTCTCATTTCAGAATATTTATTTTCTGATTTACTAAAATGAGAAAAAGGCCAATTTGGATATAAGTTGGCCTCCACCTTATTTCAGGTCTTCATTACTTCCTGCCTGGATTACTATAATAGCTTCCTAATTGGTCTCCCTACTTTGTCTCTCTCTTCTGTCCTGTACTGATAGGAATATAGATAGCTATATTCCTTCATATAGCTAGAAAAGTGATTCTAGGAAATCTGCTCTTTTGCTAAGTCTGTTAAGTGATTCGAGAAATTATCCTAGCACGTGTCACTTCCATACTCCATAAACTTCAGTAGTTCCCTGCTTCTAGGATCAAATAGAAAATTCTTTGGCCCTTCACAGCCTTGCCCCAACACCCTCTTTCCATCCTCATTATACGTTATTCCCCCTCCCATGTTTTATGGCCCAGCCAAAGTGTCATTCTAGCAAGAATTATTCCTCACCTACAATGTCTATCTCCCATATCTATGATTTTGAACAGGCTGTGCTCTATTTCTGAAATTCACTCCCTGCTCGTCCCCACCTCTTAGAATCCCTTCTTTTCTCCAAAACTCACTTCAGGTACTCCTTTCAACATGAAGCCTTTCCTGAGGCCCCAGCTGCAAGTACCCTCTCCCCAAATTACTTTTATTTTGTGTACACTTGTATATACTTATTTCTTCCAAGCTCCTTGAGGGTGGGGGTTATTTAATTTTTATCTTTATATCCCCAGCTGATACATACCTCATAGTGGGTACTGAAAAAATGAATGTCAATTGATTAGGATTAAGAGAAAGCAAATTTTAATCTCAGATTTGTCATTAGCTTCCCATGTGTTCTTAGGCAAGCCATCTGCCTTCTCTGCGCTTTAGTTTGTTCATCTGTGAAGTGAGTAGAATAGGACCTTTACTACCTTGTTGGGTTCTTTTGAGGCTTAAATGAGATAGCATAGAATGTGCACTTAATAAGCATTTTTTGCTCAATTGAATTGAAATAATTTTTAAAGCATAATTCACTATATAGAGGCAACATAATGTTAGGGAGATTAAACTTTGAAAATTATAATCTTACAAAGTAGTATCTATTTCTAAAATTCTGTATATTTAGCTGTTTTTCAAGTGAAATGAAATATATTGTTAGATCTAAAGCAACATAATTTAATATGAATAGAGTAGTGCTATTATAATGAGAACTCTAGCTGTAGAAGGAATAATGTTTTTTAACCGAACAAAATTATTTAATGGCTTACATAGTTGCTATGAAGAGTAGCTATTTAAATTTTACTAATGATAACTTACGAGAGATTTCTTGATAGATGCAACTACAGAGACAACCTGTTAAGGGATCTTCTGATTTTCAGTATCAAGCAAGGGATAAAAGAGGATGATGAATGCTTACCAAAGGTAAGCACTGTCATAGAGGAATCCAACTGGAACAGGGATTCCACGTAGATGATCAGATCCTCCAGATGCTTTTGATTGATGTTGATAACATCATCTCAGAATACTACAAGGTTCTCCTCAGTCAGGCCAGTTAAGAGATTGGCCTAACAATGTACACAGGGAAAACTGAGTGGATAAAGAATTCTTTGTGTATGGATTGAGGCATGAGTTTGATGGACAGTCTGTTGAGTAAAATCTCCGTACATGTATCTTGGACAAGTACTACAGATAATCAATGAGCTGGGCACAGAATTAAATATACAATTAATTGTATATCTATGAGGAATTACGTGCTGCTTTCAGTAATCCCAAACTGATCCATGATGCACAAACCCATCTCTCCAACAATAGTTTTATTCCAGTGATGCCATGTGGCTAAAAGCCATGAAATACTATGATCTCCCAAGAATGAAAATTGTGAATGACACTAAGTAGAGAAATACGTACATGGTGAGCACAAGTAGGCTGGAGTATATTACCATTGATATGCAAGAAATAGCATAAAAGATATTATACAGGAAACATATAATCAGAAAACAAAATAAACCAGTTGTGTAGTGAATGCAAGAAATAACAAATAGGTAAGTCACATACCTTACTTGTCCCCACAAAAATGTTAAAAGGTCTTGAGAAGGGGTTTTTAATTTTTTGCGTCTTGGACCTTTAGTTCATTAAGCCTTTGGACTACATTTTTAAATGCACAAAATGCGTAGAATTACAAAAAAACCAAGGGTCAGTGAAAATAAACAAGTAATTTTTTTCCCATCCAAATTCACTGGCCACCTGCAATCTCTCCAGGGATTGTGGACCCCAGATTAAGAACCCCTAGGCTAGAGAAGCCCTTGAACACATTGGTACACCCTCATTGGGGGATTTATAGGACCAAAGTTCGTCAAGATGAGAGACATAACTGGGTTACAATCTGCATCAGGGTGAGAGTATCCAAAGTAATTAAATCATAATCCATTTAAGTGGAAGTTCTTTAATGTTTTCTACAATGAATAAACACAAAATAAGACAAAATGAAATGTAGAGCCAAGTCCAGCTAATCTATTTGTAACCATTTGAATCAGTAATTCGTGTAATTTCTTAATTTTAGCAAAAATTTTAAGAAAAGGAGCACTCTTTTATTGCTGTTTCTGGAAATTTCTATTTTGTGCAGAATAGATACCACAAGAGTAGAGTTCACCATTCCTTTGAGAGAGAACTGGGCGCTGCCATTCTTTGCAGTTCAGATAGCAGCAATTACACATTTGCTCAGACCACACTTACAGCCTCTTTGTGAAGTAAGTTCTTGGTATCCTTTTTTTTTTTTTAAGGCTATCCAATTTGTTTAAGCAATGTCAGAATAGCTGACAAATGATCAGAGGACCCTCATGCAAACAAATTATTCTTATTCCAGTCTTTCTTATTTAACTTGAGTTTGTCTAGGTCTTCCTCCTTTGAACTCTTTTTCTCTAGTGAAAATAAAATGTTTTTATATTCATTTTCAGATACATGGTATACATAACCTATTCTTGAGCAGTGACGATAAACCCACCAGTTTCATGTAAAGGTTGATCCATTCGTTGCTCTTCTGATTTCAGACATACTGTGTGAGAGTATTTCAGTGTGGAGTGTCACATTCAGAAATTTAGAGTGGAAGTTTTCAGAGTAATAGTTTATAACTGTCCAATAAATTTTGAATGATGTTTATTCAAATTTATTCATATTAAAATTTGAATAAAGTTTATTTAGTTTAGAGAGACATTGTTTTCTGAAGAAATCTATATATAAAAGCTTTTGTCACTGGAGACATGTAAATAATATTAAAAATTTTCTTTTTCCAGAGGCTGACTCTTCTTGCAGTGTTCATATCTACTTTTCTCTTTAGTCTAACATGGCAATTTAATCAGTTTATGATGTTAATGCAAGCATTAGTTTTATTCATACTGGACTGTCTGAACATGCTTCCTACAACAAAGGTAAACTTTGCATTTTTCTTACTGGATGTTCATTGAAGGTGTTATTTTATTCAGTATTTAGTATCTAAGAATTAGACTGGGTACTTCAGTGCCTACTGATTATAATTTAAGTAATAGTTAAATATAATTTTTGTGAATGAAGTTGACAACCTTCAACTATTCATGGGATAGAAGTGATATTTTACAGAATCTAATTTGACCCTTGTTTTATCTTCATTCTGCATGTTTTGAGTTAGAACATATAATTGTTCTTATTGTAAATATATTTAGGTTAATTTTTAGTCCTTTTTGAAAATAAACCATATTTAAAAGTAGAAGAGAACCATCTTAACAGTACTTTGTGCTTTGTTTTAGGGATCTTAAGTGTGTTAAAAAAAATACAGTTGCCTAAGGTCACACGAAGGTCCCGAAAGCCTTTAATCTGTCTCTCAACTAGTATTGTTGCCATAGAATCTTACTTCTAGACGATAGAATGAAAAGTATACTTGAGTCCCAGCCGTGCCACTTACCATGTGACCTTGGGCAAGTTACAACCTTTTCCCATTTATTCCCTTTTCTGTTAAACGAGGATAATAATACTTCATACTACCTACCTCACAAGATTGTTGTGGGGAAAGTGCTTTGTAAACCTCAGAGTGCTTTATAAACGTGAGTTGTAATATACTGAATAACTACTCAGGTTTTTAGCTTATTAATTTTAACTTCAATTTAGCTAGTGTTTACTGAAGTCTCACTTTGTACAAGACTCTGCTAGGTACTTGTTAGGGATAAAGATGAATAAGATAGTCTTTTTTTTTTTTTTCCTTTTTTTTTTTTTAAAGGCAGTTGGGGTTAAGTGACTTGCCCAGGGTCACACAGCTAGTAAGTGTCAAGTGTTTGGTCTGAGGCCGGATTTGAATGACTTCAGGGCTGGTGCTCCATCCACTGCGCCACCCAGCTGCCCCTAAAATAGTTTTTTTATAGCTGGAATTATAATAAGGGAAATCAATGAGCACAAATAATTTTTAATTCATAATTTAGTTCATAATTTTGTAATAGAAAAAAGTTAAGAAATTTTATACTTAAACATTAATTTTAGCAGTGAGAGGTGAATATTTGTCTAAACAATTTAATTTTATTGAACAGGCGCTCAACACACTGATAAAAAATTAAATGTGGGCATTATTTCATATAACATGTAAAAGTTCACAACATCAAATTAGATTACTATTTCAGAAAAAATAAAATTACCAAAATATGCTTAGTGCATACCGTGTACAAAGAACTGTGTCCTTAGTGTGGGATGTAGAGCAGTATAAATACAAGATGTAATACCTACCCTCAAGGACCTTACCAAGTGGTTGGGAGACAAAATGAAAATATTAAAAGATAATTAACAACCAAGGGGATATACACTAGGTAGTGTCAAGTGTTCAGAAGAAAGGAAGGATTCATGGGAGGTAGAGCCAAGGTGGCAGAGTAAAGGCAGGGGCTCACCTGAATTCTCCCCATTTCATCTCCAAATAACTTTAAAATAATGCTTCAAATTAAATTCTGGTGTATCTGAACCAACAAAATGTTGGTGTGAAACAATTTTCTATCCCAGGACAACTTAGGAAGTTGGCAAGAAAATTCTGTCTCAGTAGGGTGGTTGGACTCGGAGTCCAGCACAGACCACATGTGCTAGGGCACCAGCAGCAGGCCTTGAAAGCAGTTCAGCAGCAGCAGCAGCAGCTTTGGGAGCTTTCAACCTACAGATAGTAAGAGGGCTGTACAACTGTTCAGAAGGAAATTACAGGAGACTCTTTGCAGGCACTGAATACCTGACTGTCAAATTGCTCATATGCAGGTCTAGGTTATAGTCTCAGAGCTAAGAGGAGTGCTAGCTAACTATTGCTGGTGGCAGCAGGGGTCCTGGTCAAAGTTCCAGGGCAGAGAAGAGTGCTTTTGTTCACTCACAGGCCAGGAGAGCAGTGACCACATCCTCTCCTTAGATCATAGCACATTGGAAGAAGCAAAAACCTATAGTTCCTCCTCTCTCCACTCCCCCCACACCCCCATGCCCCCCATAGCAAGCTCAGAAAATAGCAGCAGAAAAAGCCTGAAGCTTGGGATAGTGCCCCCTCTACCTGGGAGCAGTGCCCAACTTTAACATAAAGTTGTCAGTCAAGAAATAGGCTGGAAAATGAGCAAATGACAAAAGAAGAACCTGACCATAGAAAGTTACTATGGTCACAGGGAAAATCAAGACACAAACCGAGAAGGAAACAGTGAAGTCAAAACTTCTGCATGCTAAGCTTCAAAGAAAAATGTGAATTGGTCAAAGGCCCAAAAAGAATTCCTAGAATGACTCAAAAAGTATTTGACAAATCAAGTAAGAGAAGTAGAGGAAAAATTGGAAAAAGAAATTAAAATGGTGCAAGAAAATGATGAAAAGAAAGTTAACAGCTTGGTAAAGGAGGCACAAAAAAAATTGAAGAAAATAACACCTTAAAAAGACAAAATTGGCCTAATGGAAAAGGAAGTACAAACGCTTACCAAAGAAAATAATTCCTTAAAAATTAGAATTCTACAAGACATCAAGAAACAATAAAATAAAGTCAAAAGAATGAAAAAAAATAGAAAAAATGTGAAATATCTCATCGGAAAAATTAGATTGAGAATCTAATGTGAAATCTCATTGAAAAAAAATTAGCTTGAAATAAGAATGATGAGAGATAGTTTAAGAATTATTGGACTACCTGAAAACCATGATCAAAAAAAGAGCCTTGACATTATATTTCAAAAAATTGCCCTAACATCCTAAAATCAGAGGAAAAAATAGAAATTGAAAGAATCCATCAATTATATTACATCCTGAAAGAAATCCCAAAATGAAAACTCCCAGAAATATAGCCAAATTCCCGAGTTCCCAGGTCAAGGAGAAAATATTGCAAGCAGCAAGAAAGAATAAATTCAAATATCATGGAGCCACTGTCAGGATAACACAAGATTTAGCAGCTTCTACATTAAAGGATCAGAAGGCTTAGAATAAGATATTTTGGAGGGCGAAAGAGCTAGGTTTACAATCAAGAATCATCCACCTAACAAAACTGAGTATAATCTTTCAGGGGGGAAATGGATATTTAATGAAATAGAGAACTTTGAGGCATTCTTTACCAGAGTTGAATAAAAAATTTGACTTTCAGATATAAGACTTAAGAGAAATTTTAAAAGGTAAACATGAAAGAGAAATCATAAGGGAATATATAAGGCTAAATAGTTTATATTCCTATATGGGAAGATGATACTTATAACTCCTAAGAATTTTATCATTATTAGGGCAGTTAGGAGTCTATAAATCTAACAATCTAAGTGAAATGGATGAATAATTATAAAAACATAAGTTGCCCAGATTTAAAGAAGAGATAAGAGGATACTTAAATAAACCTATATGAGAAAAAGAAATTGGACAAGCCATAAATGAGCTCCCTAAGAAAATAATCACAGACTTGTGACAAAATACAACATTCATTCCTGTTAAAAACTTTGGAAAGCATAGGAATAAATGAAGCTTTCCTTAAAATGGTAAGTAGTATCTGTCTAAAGCCATCAACAAGTATTATCTGTAATGGGGATAAACCAGAAGCCTTCCCAAAAGATCAGGGGTGAAGCAAGGTTGCCCATTATTACCACTATAGAAATGCTAGCTCTAGCAGTTAGAGAAAAAGAAATTAAAGGAATTAGAATAGGCAGTGAGGAAACACAACTTTCATTCTTTGCAGATGATATGAGGTTAGACTTAGTGAATCCTAGAGAATCAACTAAAAAACTAGTTGAAATAATTAACAACTTCAACTGAGTTGTAGGTTATAAAATAAACCTACGTTAAATCATCAGCATTTCTATATATTACCAACAAAATCCAGCAGCAAGAGATCTGAAGCGAAATTTCATTTAAAACAATTGTAGATAATATAAAACACTTGGGAGCCTACCTGTCAAGACAAGTCCAGGGACCATATGAACACGTTTATAAAACACTTCACACAAATAAAGCTAGATTTAAACAATTGGACAAATAATTGCTCGTGGGTAGGCTGAGCCAATATAATAAAAGTGACAATTCTACCTAAATTAATTTACTTACTCAGCACCATACCAATCAAACTACCAAAAATATTTCAAAAAGCTAGAAAAAATAGTAACAAAATTCATCAGGAAGAACAGAAGACCAAGAATAACAAAGGAAGTCAATTTAAAAAATGTAAATGAAGATTGTCTAGTAGTATTAGATCTCAAACTGTATTACAAAGCAGTAATCATCAAACCAATCTGGTACAGGCTAAAAAATAGAATGGTGGATCGATCAATGGAATAGAGTAGGTATGCAATATGCTGTAGTAAGTGACCATTGTAATCTAGTGTTTGAAAAACCCAAAGATCCAAGCTTTTGGTACAAGAACTTATTACTTGACAAAAATTGCTAGGAAAACACTTTGGCTGAAACAAGGTATAAATCAGTGTCTTACCATGTGCCAAGATAAGGTCAAAATGGGTACGTGATTTAGACAGAAAGGGTGATGCCATAAGCAAATTAGGGAGCATGGAATATCTTGCCTCTCAGATCATTGGATAAGGGAAAAATTTGTGACTAAACAATAGATACCATTACAGGAAGTAAAATGGATAATTTTGATTATATTAAACTAAAAAGGTTTTGCACAAGCAAATGTAATGCAGCCAAGATTAGAAGGAAAGCAGAAAACTTGCAAAAAAAAATTACAGCAAGTTTCTCTAATGAAAACCTCATTTCTCAAATATATGGAGAACAGGGAGTCAAATCTCTAAGAATATGAGTCATTCCCCAATTGACAAAGGGCCAAAGGATATGAACAGGCATTTTTCAGAAAAAGAAATCGAAGCTATCCATAGTCATATGAAAAAATTCTGTAAATCACTATTGATTAGAGAAATGCAAATTAAAACAATTCTGAGGTACTACCTTATACCTGTCAGATTAGCTGATATGACAGAAAAGGAAAATGACAAATGTTGGAGGGGATATGGTAAAATTGGGACACTAATGCACTACTGGTCAGTTGTGAACTGATTCAACCATTCTGGAGATAAATTTGGAAATATGCCAAAGATCCATAAACCTGTGCATACCCTTTGACCCCCAATACCAATGTTAGGTCTATGTACCAAAGAGATCAAATGAAAAGGAACTATGTGTCCAAAATATATTTTTAGGAGTTCTTTTATTGCTGGCAAAGAATTGGAAATTGAGGGGATGCCCATCAAAAGGAGAATGGGTGAAGAAGTTGTGATACACGATTGTGATGCAATAGTATTGTGTTATAAGAAATAATGATCAGGGGGGTTTCAGAAAAATCTGTAAAGACTTATATGAACCGATGCAAAATGAAGTGAGCAGAAGTAGAAAAACATTGTATATTATGAAAGCAATATTGTATGCTGATCAATTGTAAATGACTCAGCTAGTTTCAGCAATATAATGATCCTAGACAATCCTGAAGGACTTGATGAAAAATCCTGTCCACCTTCAGAGAAAGAACTGATGGAGTCTTAATGTAGTGTTTTTCTTGTGTTTTCGGTCTGTGTTTTCTTTTACAGCATGACTAACATGAAATATGTTTTGCATGACTACACATGTATAGTCTATATCTAATTGCTTGCTATCTCAGGAGAAAGAGGGTGTGGAGGAAGGAGCAGAATTTGGCACTCAAAATTTTTAAAAATCCATGCTACAAATTATTTTTACATGTATTTGGGAATATATATAAAAAAGGAAGCTTTCATGATAGTGATGGGATTTGAACTAGCTTCTGAAAGAAGGGTTGGTGTTTGAAAGGTTATAATGCTTTCCCATCTTTTCAATTAAAAACAAGACTTTTGTTTGTACGTACTCAGCATGGTTTTTTTCCATGACTTTGTATATCAGATTATTATGTTTAAAAATCACAGCACTAAATTACTAGGTCTATGTTCTATAAACATTTTATTCATATATTAACTTATGCTTATAGATATTATACATCATGTAATATAAAAATAAATATACAATACATAGATACATACATAAATACGTAATACATGTATACATATATAATACATGTAATATGAAATAAATATACATCATGTAACTTTCCTTAATTTGATTAATAACTATAACCCAGATTATCTCTAGGGAGAAAGTTATTTGGTTGCTATTTAGTTATGTGTGATCAAATTCTTTGCTAGCTTCTCCATACATTTTTCTTAAAAATGCAACTTTTGAGCCTACCTCTAATTTTATTTTTGTGAACGATGCATTGTATGTTTATGTATTTTTTGAAGATTTCCTATTAAGGAATAGGAAAATGGACAGTAGAAAAAACATCAGAGCCAATGATTTTTCTAGCTGCCTGTCACAGTGCTGCATCTGTCAGATAAATTGTCAAGGCACAATAACTATTTGGCTTATCTTAGAAATGTATGAATGTTGTCTTGACAACCTGGGAGCCTAATATAAAAGCCACCTTCAGGCAGGCACAGCATACATGTGATGAACAAGGAAGTAGGGAGAGAAGGGGGAGGAGCAGAATGGGCCAGATTGCTGTTAAAGAGACACGCAAGATAAGTTTTACCCTGGGGACATTTAGGTGTGCTATAGAAGAATGGCCATCACCAAGTCACTGAAATAAAAACATAAAACATTTGTAAAGATAAAATTGAGACTTTGTTATATTTTCCTCTGAGATTTTCTCATTAAAGCCTTCTAATTCCCAACTGAGAATACCCGAATGTTTTCTGAATGATTACTTAAGGTTATACCAAAGACATTAATTAGTATAAGGACAGGTATAGATAAAAGTAGTAGTGGGGAGGTTACAGCAAATCATTTCTATCACAACCATCAATGAACTTTTGACTGCTTTCAGGGTGGTAGATAATATATAATCACACAAAAGATGTGGCCCTTGCTCTCTAATCAGGTCAATATTTGAAAAATATTCTTAGTTTTTTTGTGGACTTTTTGTCCAAAACAAACTATCCCTTGCCTATAAAACCTAAAAGCCCAAGTTTTCTGACAGTCATGCCTGAAAAAGTAAGATTATTTATATAGACAATACTTAAATTCAAGTGTTTTAAGCAAGTTGAATAATGCCCAGCCCTGTGATGTGATCAGTTTACAGCAAACATTAGAAACGTTTATGTTAGTTGGCTTCCTTGTGTTTTGTGCTGTCCCCAGCTCCCAGTTAGTTTGGAACTATAGCTCCTACCTTTAGTTCCTCAGATTGTTGTCTCCGAAAAAAAGGGGAAAGGAGGGAGTAGAGTTGAGTCATGTGAAACGAGGAAAAACGGGAAGGGAAAATGTGTTGCCATGGTACTGAGAGATTGACCTCTCTCATTATAAAGTAATGAAACTGATTTGGTCACGTGGCTGATAGACTGTCTCTAAAAGCATTTCTGAAAAAGAAGTTTCCAAAAACAGTTTGAACAAAAGCAGCATCACTTGAATAATCTTCCAAGGGTCTACTTTGGCAGATAACACTCATTTGTATTAATAAGGACTGGTATGAATTTTTTAAAAATCCTGGATTCATAATTAAAAGTAATATTCGATCCTTTGCAGCCCTTAAAAAGAAAAGGTAGTACTGTGTAGGGAATGTGCACAATCCATTGTTATGAAAACAAATTGTATTCACATCAGATGGATTTGGGATAAAATTCAGTGCTAAACCTCACTTAAAAATTTCTTATGTAGCCATGTTTCCATTCTGGTGAAACGCAGATGCAATGGTCTTTTAGATGAAGTCAGTATATTGTCCACAATAGATGGAACCTAAGCATCTAGCTGCTTTAAATACTATAAAGTCTCCTCGCCCAAGTGAAGTGAAAGAAATGGGAATGTTTATCTTGGAAAAGAGAAGACTTAAGGAGAACATACTTTCATATATATGAAGAGCAGTCATGAGGAAGAGGTCTTAGATTTGTAATTCCAGAGGGCAGAACAAGAACTAATTAGGGAGAAGTTACATGAAGGCAGATTTCAGGTTTAATGTAAGGAAGAAATTCCAATCAAATATAGCTATACAAAAATGGAATGGTTTGTCTTATGAGCTAGTGAATTGCTCATTACCAAAAGTCTTTAATCAGAGAAAGACTTAATTGACCATGGATATTATACTGGGGATTTCTGATTCAAATAAAGCATTGGGATAGATGGTTACTTTTATAACCCTTGAGATTCTGTAGTAGGTTGTTCGTTGTTAAAAAAACTAAATGCCTGTCTTTTGTTTAGACTGTTTCTAAATGCCTTCTGGATGGTTTTATAATCCCTTGATATGGTGAGCTCTTACTAGTATATGTTTATCTAGCTGATCATTACCTTTTTCAACTTCGCAGGTTACATGGCTATATATTATACAGGTGACAAGTTTACTCTTGGTCTGCGTCCTTCAGTTCTTTAATTCCATGATCCTTGGATCTTTGCTTATAAGTTTTAATCTCTCAGTGTTAATAGCAAGAAAATTTCAGGTATGCATCTTTTTTGCTGTTATTGTAAATATATCTTTTGAATGTGTAAAAATTCCATCTATTAAGTGTTTACTATGTACAAAGCATTGTACAAAGTTCTGGGAATATAAATAGCAAAGTAAGTCCCTGCTCTCAGGGAGCTCTCATTCTAATGGGGAATATAACTCTTAGGGAAAATTTCAGTTGCAAGTCAGATGGACAGGTGCACAGTGGCTAAGCAGATTTTAATGTTTTTTAATGTCACATCCATTGATAAAATCTTATCTTGATTTTCTATTTCTGATGTTGCCGAGCATCTTTATCCAGGACATAACGATTAATCATAGGTGTCCCACAGGGCTCTGTCCTGGGCGTGCTTCTCCTTCCTCTATTTACTATTTCACTAGGTGATTTCATCAGCTCCTATGGATTCAATTATCCCTATGCTGCTCATTCTCAGATATACTTATCTAATCCTAGCCCCTTGTGACCTCCAGTTTTACTTTTCCAAGTACCTACTGGATATTTCAGACTGTCTGTCCTATAGACATCTTAAACTCAGCATCTTAAAAACTGAACTCAACTGTCCCCACCCCACCCCAAATATATCTCCTTTCTAAACTTTGCTATTACTGTTAAGGCTGCCGCAGTACTCTCAGTCATCAGGCTCACAACCTAAGTGTCATCTTCCTTCTCCCCACTTTCTCTCACCTCCCACATCGAATCATTTGTCAGGTCATGCCAATTTTACCTTCCTAACATTTGTTGCATGCTTCCCCTTCTCTCCTGTGGCATTGCCAACATTCTGGTCCCTATCATCTCAAATCTGGACAATTGTACCTGGTGGTAAGTCTACCTACCTCGAGTCTTTTCCCACTCCCACCCATCTTCCACTCAGCTGCCAAATTGATCTTCCTAAAGTGCATATTTGACCATGTTATTCCTATCAACTCCAGTTGCTCCCTATAACCTCCAGAATCAAATATAAAATCTTCTGTTTTGCTTATAAATCCCTCCATAACCTCACCCCTCCTACATTTCCAGTCTTCTCACTCGTTACACTCCCCCACATACTCTGTGAACCAGTGATAGTGGCCTTCTTGCTGTTCTTTGCATTCTACTCCATGCCCCTATTCCAGGCATTTTCTCTGGCTTTCCCAATTGTGTAGAACTCTCTGCCTCCTGACTTCCCTTGTTTCCTTCAAGTCTCAGCTAAAATCCCACTTTGTTCAGGAAAACCTTCTTAACCCCTTAATCCTAGTGCCTTCCCTTTATGGATTATCTCTAATTTATTTTGTACATACCTGGTTTGTACTTGGTTGGTGGCTTGTTATCTTTACCATTAGACTGTGAGTTTCTTTAGAGCAGACAGTCTTTTTTTCTTTTTTTTTTTTTTTGCTTTGGGACCCGGGGTTAAGTGACTTGCCCAGGGTCACGCAGACACATAGTGTCATGTGTCTAAGGCCAGATTTGACCTCAGGTCCTCCTGACTTCAAGGCCAGAGCTCTATCTACTGTGCCCCCTAGCTGTCCTGAATGATTGTCCAGGGTAGAATTCGAACCCATGGTTTTTTTTTGTTTGTTTGTTTGTTTGTTTTTTTAGGCAGTTGGGGTTAAGTGACTTACCCAGGGTCACACAGCTAGTAAGTGTCAAGTGTCTGGTCTGAAGTCACTTTTGAATTCAGGTCCTCCTGACTCTAGGGCCAGTGCTGTATCCACTGCGCCATCTAGCTGCCCCCTCAGACTATCTTTTACATTTCTTTTTATCCACAGTGCCTGGCACATAAGAGGTACTTAATAAATGTGTGATTGACTGACTGGTGAGGGAGGTGGGTCCGTTCTCCACAGTGATTTCTCCCTCAGTGATGGCTTCAAGGGATTGGTAGGAAAAAGTTCTCATGATTTAGGGGGCCCTGCTATTCCCATGGCTCTTTTGTGTTCAAAGTCCTGGGCTGCCTTTAGGATCTGAGGAGCCATGGTGGTCAAGATGGTGATGGTGGAGCTGGTCTGATTTCCCTGGTATTTGCTGCCTCCAGTCTTTCTCCCTTGGGTGCAAATAACTACATATACAAAAACTTTTTTTTTCAAATTTATCCTTCTGTCCTACATCATTTTTGCATGGAATATGATTAAATTCCCATGACAACATTTGGTGTACTAATAAATAAAAACTATTGATTGCATTTTTTTAAAGTATGCTGTTCAGACATTGGTTTCCATAGACTTCTCTCTGATCTCTCTCCTCTACCAATGACCTAAACTCTTAACTTCAGTCTTAGATCACATTTTCTTTAAGGAAGTCCTAGAGATATCTCATTGAAACTTAATTTCATTGAACATAATTAAAAAGAACTGATTTAAGGGTAAGAAAAGAACTTTTAAAAAATATTTCCATTAGTCTCCATGATGTAAATAGATCATTGATCAACTTTTAGAGCAATTCGATTCCTTTATGGAAAATAGGAATTTTTGGAATTATGTAACCCTATCATTTGATTTTATAATACTTAACTTTCTCCATTCCTCTGCCTCTTGAATGGAACTGTATGGGACATATGTTTATTCTTTAAAGTAATTTTTGTTTTACATATTTATTTTTTAATGAGTTCAAATTAATTTGGGCAGCTGGAGATTTTTTTTTTTAAGAATTTCCAATTCCTCTCAAGATGAGCAAATAATCCTTTTGTCTCAAAAATTGAGAATAGGAATTATTGACTAACACCTTATGTTCTTAAGTTTTGACTTAATTGGGTAGATCCTTGTTTTTCTGTATGCTGGAATAAAGTCTTTTGCCTTTGTTACACACCACCTAAATAGAGATTCATTTTCTATTTTGGGAAGGAAAAAAAAATCTACTTTTTTTTAATCATCCTTTCTGGATTATAGCACCTACTATTGATTAAATGTCATTCAGATTCCAAAAAAAATGACCCTATTTTTGGCTAATTATTAAATAACAGTAGTAACCAGCTTTAATTATATTTGATATTCCTTAAACTCTATCAGTTGTGGCATGTATAATAATGTATAGTATTGATCACTTTATAAGCTTACTCAGGGATACAAAAGCAACTCTCCTCAGTACTAAAGGGCATGATTTCCACAGCTTATTATAGGTAGATTTTATACTCATATTATAGCAATTGACCAGTGCTGTTTAAAATTAAAAGCTGGAGAAAAAGTGTAAAAATGAGGCCTTTCTAAGTAGATAGTTAAAGATATCCTAATAGCATAGTTTGATTGAGATAATTTTTTGGCTCATATTTTACCCATGCATCAAAGAATCCAATGCACTAAAAATTTATTAATCGCATACGATGTGACAGGTGCTGTATTAAGTGCTGGGGATACAATAAATAGAAAAAAAGACAATCATTGCCTTCAAAGAGCTTACAATCTAACGGGAAGACAATACACAAAATGAGGCAGGAAGACAGCGAGGAAGGGGCTGCAGAATGGAGAAGGGATATCAAGGGGTACCTGGCATAGGGGCATCTTGTTCCATGGAGTTGAAACCAGTCAGGGCAGCAGATGCAAAGTGGAGTGATCTGAGAGTGCCACTTCTGCCCTGTATAAAGGAAAACTCTGAGAGGAGTTTGGTACCTCCTCCCAATCAGAAGGGAGAAGAGGCTGAGGGAGGTCAAGTGAATCCACCAACAAATCTTTCTGGAAGACAAGTAATATATTTTAAGTATCTATAAAATGATTAAAGTTCAATCTTTTAATTTCTAGAAAAATCTGAAAACTGGAAGCTTCCTTAATAGGCTCTGGAAACTTTTGTTCCACTTAGCCCTGGTGCTATGTTTGACCATTTTTCTCAATAGCTTTATTAAGGTAGGTTGGTACAATCACTTTTACTTTCATAAGCACTTTTTTAAACACCTCAAAAGTGATATAAAATGATTTGTTAAATGAGATCAGTGTTAGATGTTGTTGGTATACTTCAAACACAAGTCTATAATATTGTGGTTCCATTTGTTGAATTCCTAAAGTGACAGATTATTTTCCTAAAGTGAATCACTGACTTCTGCCCTGCTATATTTGATTCCCTTTCTTTGATTTCACATTGTCAACTTCTGAGTGATTGGCATTTACAGGCACAGGTTGAAGACTCCCAACAAGTAGTAAAGTACAATAAAATTTAAAACTCTGGCTTGTAGAAGTCATTTTCATCTACAAAGACAGAGTCCCCTGTCTTTCAAATGGAGTTGTTCCCAGTTCAAGGTGCAGTTTGTTCATGCTATTCTGTAGTGATGTATACTCAACTCCTTGGAACTTAGGTGGCATGGTTTGAATTATCTTTGCTTGTATGACTTTACTGTTATAGCTCTGAACAGGCAAGTCCTAGGCCATGAATTTGTGTGACATTGATAGTGCTTACTGAAAGATTTCAATTTCAGATCATATTATTGGCTTTTGGACATTCTTGTATGTAAGAACTTATCAGCATTCAGATGCCTCTTTCAACTGAAGCATAAAGCCTCAGCTTGTTTTTGAATTCTAACTAATATATTAAGAACATTTATTATTCGTGCTTCCTGTGGGTAAATATCAAGAAATTATGCCCAAAATACTAATAGCAACTTTTGTTTTTTCCAATAGCAATTTCTTAATCTAAAGTCAGATGAACACATATTTAAATTTCTGAAGGCAAAATTTGGGTTTGGCGCAACAAGGTAGGATTAAGATTATATTCCCTTTTTAAAAATTATATTAAATCATCAAAATTAAAAATTAGGTCAAAATAAATGCCTGCTATTATTGGATGCTACCTCATGGCTTGAAGAAACCTATGTTAAAATTATTTATGTTGCATTGAATTTGATAGTATACTTTCCATTTGTTCTTTAGGGATTTTGATGCAAATCTGTATCTATGTGAAGAAGCTTTTGGCCTACTACCATTTAATACACTTGAAAGACTGTCACATACATTACTCTTTTATGCGTACATGTTTGTTCTTTCCATTATGGTGATAGTGGCTGTTGTTGTTGCCCTTCGGAACCTCAGGTACTGTCTGGTTTAGAAATATTACATTTTTCTTCTTACAGTATATTTGCATCATTGTTTATTTTTGAGACTTAGCTGACATGAAAACAAAAAAAAATCAAATATAGAATGTATGTGTAGACTTAGCATTTAGGCCTGGGGAAGGGGGTAGAAATATTCTGTCTTAGCTGTAAAGTAATGTTGATTTGGGATTTCTTATTTTGTACATTATCAGTGTCCATTGCCTTTCTATCTTCTCCTTAAAATCAACTGCAGGTTATACATAGGAAATCAAGAATTGGTTGTCATTTATTTTTTTATTCAGTGCCTTATTTTAGGACTCTTGAACCTGAAAAAGACAGCAATTTTTAGTATCTCGCAAAAGATTAAATAGTCATTGCCAGAGTCTTCTTAGAATGTTCACCAAGCTATCAAAAGGAAAAAGTAGAGTTCTAAGTTTTTTGACATATTCTTCCCCAAATTTTTTTTATTTTTTTAATGGTAATTTTTCTTTTTTTTTGTTTTCAACATTTACTTCCACAAGATTTTGAGTTCCAAATTGTCACCCCATCTCACCCCTCCCCCTGCCCCAAGATGGCATGCATTCTAAATACCCCTTCCCCTAGTCTGCCTTCCCTTCTGTCTCTCCCCCCCTTCTCTTATCCCCTTCCCCTTCTATTTTCCTGTAGAGCAGGATGGATTTCTGTGCCCCATTTCCTGTATTTCTTATTTCCCAGTTGCATGTGGAAACATTTTTTTTAAACATGTGTTTTTAAAACTTTGGGTTCCAAATTTTCTCCCTTGCTCCCTCCCCACCCACCCTCACTGAAAAGGCAAGCAACTCAATGTAGGTTATACATGTGCAGTTATGCAAAACTCTTCCATAGTAGACAGGCCGTGAAAAACTAACTCTATTTCCCTTAATCCTGTCCTGCCCCCCCCCCCATTTATTCTATTCTTTCTTTTGACCCTGTCCGTCCTCAGAAGTATTTGCTTCTGATTATTCCCTTTCCCAATCTGCCCTCCTCTCTATCATTCCCCTATTCTCTTGTCCCCTTCCCCCCTTATTTTCCTGTAGGGTAAGACAGATTTCCACACCCAATTGAGTGTGTATGTTATTCCCTCCTTAAGTCAAATCCTATGATAATAAGATTCACTCATTCCCTCTCACCTTCCCCCTTTTCCCTTCCATTGTAAGAGCCTTTTCTTTTCTGTTTTTTTTTTGTAGGATAATTTACCCCATTCTACCTCTCCCTTTCTCCTTCTCCTAGTATATTCCTCTCTCACCCTTAATTTTATTTTCCAGATATGACCCCTTCATTTTCAACTCACCCTGTGCCCTCTATCTGTATCTATATATATGTACATATAATTTTTTCCCCTCCAACTACCCTAATACTGACAAACGTCTCATGAGTTACAAATATCATCTTTCCATGCAGGAATGTAAACAGTTCAACCTTAATAAGTCTCTTATGATTTTCTCTTTCCTGTTTACCTCTTCATGTTCCACTTGAGTCCTGTATTTGAAAATCAAATTTTCTATTCAACTCTGGTCTTTTCATCAAGAATGCTTGAAAGTCCTCTATTTCACTCAATGACCATTTTTTCCCCTGCAGGATTATACTCAAGTTTTGCTGGGTAGGTGATTCTTGGTTGTAATCCTATCTCCTTTGCTCTCCGGAATATTATATTCCATGCCCTGTGGTCCCTTAACGTAGAAGCAGCTAAATCTTGTGTTATCCTGATTGTGTTTCGGCAATACTGAATTGTTTCTTTCTGGCTGCTTGTAATATTTTCTTCTTGACCTGGGAACTCTGGAATTTGGCTACAATATTCCTAGAAGTTTTCCTTTGGGTATCTCTTTCAGGAGGAGATAGGTGGATTCTTTCAATTTCTATTTTGCCCTCTGGTTCTAAAATATCAGGACAGTTTTCTTGGATAATTTATTGAAAGATGATGTCTAGGCTCTTTTTTTGATCATGGCTTTCAGATAGTCCAATAATTTTAAAATTCTCTCTCCTGGATCTATTTTCCAGGTCAGTTGTTTTTCCAATGAGATATTTCACATTGTTTTCTAATTTTTCATTCTTTTGAATTTGTTTTACAGTGTCTTGATTTCTCATAAAGTCACTAGCTTCCAGTTGCTCTATTCTAATTTTTAAGGAAGTATTTTATTCTTTTCCGTCAAGCTCAGGTGCCATGACCACCTATTGTGATTTTTGCTTTTGGACTTCCTTTTCCATTTGGCCAATTTTGCTTTTTAGGGCATTCTTCTCCTCATTGACTTTTTGGACCTCTTTTGCCATTTGGGTTAGGCTATTTTTTAAGGTGTTATTTTCTTCAGTATTTTTTTGGGTCTCCTTTAGCAAGCTGTTGACTTGTTTTTCATGATTTTCTTGCATCACTCTCATTTCTCTTCCCAGTTTTTCCTGTACTTCTCTTACTTGCTTCTCAAAATCTCCTTTGAGCTCTTCCAAAGCCTGGGACTGATTCATATTTTTCTTGGAGGCTTTGGGTGTAGGAACTTTGGTTTTGTTGTCTTCTGGTTTATGTTTTGATCTTTTTTGTCACCAAAGTAAGATAATACAGTCTGACTCTTTTTGTGCTGCTTACTCATGATCCCAGCCAATTACTTGAGTTTTAAACTCTTTGTTAAGGTAAAAGTCTGCTTCGAATGTGAAGAGTGTACTGTCCCAAGCTTTGGGGGTTTGTACAGCTATTTTCAGAGGTACTTCTAGGGACCTGTAAATTTTCAATTCTTCCAAGGTGGTATGATAAGGGGCGAGGTGTTTCCTCTCCACAGCCACAACAAGCTCCACTGCACCAGTGTTCCTCCTCTCCCCAGGACCGCCCCTCAGAACTGTGACCCAGATCCAAGCACCAGTAAAGCAAGAGATTCCTGCCTCAGCTGTGTCAAAGAGATCATTGCAATCCCCCTCTGATCAGCCACTTGATTACCCCTCAGTCTGTGGGCTAGAAGCTCAGGAAACAGTTGCTGCCCCGAGGGCAAGCTCGGGACTTGTGGCTGAGACCTAGCTCCTCTCTCACCACAGTCACAGACTTTTTCCACTGACCTTCCCACTGTCTTTGGCATTCATGGATTGAGAAGTCTGGAAACCGCCACAGCTGCCCGCGATTCAGTCCTCTGAGGCCTGCTCCAGGTTTGTTGTGGCCTGCGTGCCCATGCAGAGCTGCGCTCCTCTTCCCACCCAGCGCGATGTACCTTCCCAATCAACCATCCAGGCTGTCTTTGGCTGGAAATTTGTTTCACTCTGTCTTTTTGTGGGTTCTGCTGCTTTAGAATTTGTTTAGAGCCATTTTTTTTAGGTATTTGAAGGGCTTTGGGAGAGAGCTCAAGACAGTCACTGCTTTCCCTCTGCCATCTTGGCTCCGCCCCCCCCCAAATTTCTTACAACGTTTTACCTGGACCTCTTCTTTGCACTTAACACATTCACCCCTATTCTGTAATTGTTTTGTTTATGCCTTTCTTCCCTTCTAGATTTCAAGCTTCATTGATAGCAAGATCTATCTTGTATTTGTTTTTGTATCATTAGTACCTAGCACAATTTCTGGTATTTACCAAGTACTTAATAAGTACTTATTGATTTGAATAGCATGGAATGGACTATTTAATAAAATTTGTTTTGCTTTTATAGTCCATCATAAGATGAAAGAGAATTAATTGTTAGCAAACAAAACTATTATAGTCAGTGAAAACATAATTATGTCCCAGAGGAAATACCTTTATATATATAGTTACTATGTCAATTAAGTACTAGTGAATTGTGATTCATAGTCACCAGAGTGCTGTGTTGAGTAAAAGGTATTAAAATAACCAAAGACTAGTTGTTTTATAGTAGTAGTTTATGATTATTAAGAATGAAATAAGACTGAACTGATAGAGCATTTCTCTAACCATAAAAAATTTTAGTATCTCTCAGTAGTGTTCTTTTTTGTACTTAATACAAGATTTGAGTTAGCTTCTTGAAAGTAGACAAAATTGTTTTGTGCTTTGTGATTCAATATTATTTGGTATACTTCAGAGGCTATCAGTATGCTAGTCCTTGCTTAATTGAATTCAGAAATTCAGCAAACATTTATTAAGCTTCTACTATATGCAAGTCACTGAGAATATAAAGAAAAAATCACCACAATCCCTGCTCTCAAGGAGCTTACTCTCTGTGGGAATACAGCCTGTGTGTAAATACAGGATAATTCGATAAATGAGAAAACACTAATAACTAGGGGTGTAAAGAAAAAATCACAATAGGTGGTCATGGCACCTGAGCTTGACGGAAGTTAAGAATTCAGAGAGGGGGAAGTGAGAAAGGAGTCTAAGCACTACTGACACCAGAAATGCTGAATTTGGGAAACTATGTACTCATAGGTCACTTTAGTCGAAATAGAGATCATGAAAGGTTGAAGTAGGCTGGAAGGATAGGCTGGAGCCATTTCATGGAGGGCCTTTAAATAGCAGGCTGAAAAATTGGCATTTGTTTTTCTAGCTATGTAAGGTAACATAGCTCAGAGTTATTAAATAAAAATACCATTAATGCCCCATAGATGATAGGATTTCTGAAATTGATTAACTGTGTGATCATCAATGTCATTTTAAAACATCTATATCTGTTCACTAGGAACTTTGTCAAATGAAAAGTGCTATATTAATCTGAAAATTAAAAAAAATTGCAGGGCACTAGTATGTGTTAGCTAAGTTATTTTAAAGTACTTCTAGCCAAGAGCTTACAAATTGCATTTTAACTTTTGGTGCTTCTTTAACCTATAAATTTCACTTTGTCACATTTATAAAATATTTGTAGTCCCAGAGATCGCTGGAAAGTACATCATGCTTTATTCTTTTTTTTTAAAGTTCATATTTATATTTTCTGCTTTTTACATCACCATAGTTATCCCGACTGTTCCTCTTCCTCCCCCTCCTAGAGAATCAAAACGTCAGCACAACTGATTTATACATTCAAAAAGTCTGAAAACAAGTGTAATAACACCTGTGGGCCTCCCATGTCCATGAAGGGAGAGGTTGGGAGTGTCTTCTCATAGCTGTTTATTCTAGTCCTGCTTGATCTTTATAATTTCGTTACATGTACTTGTGATTTGATGTGTAATCATTCTTTTCATTTACATTACTGTAGACAATGTGTGTGTATATTGTTTTCTTGGCTGTGCTCACCTCACTCTGCATCAGTTAATACAGCTTTTCCATGCTTCTCTACATTCATCACACACATCATTTCTTATATCACAATCTTACTCCATAACATTCATGTACCACAATTTTTTTAGCCGTTCCTCAATCATGCGTTATCATGGAACTGTAAACTATCATCTGAAGACTTGTAGAGTATGTGAAGACTTAAGGGAATAGGATTACAGGATTGTAGATTTAGGGCTGGAAGGGACCTTCTAGTTCAACCCCCTCATTTTGCAAATGAGGAAACAGAGGCTCACAGATAAGTGACTTGCCCACAGAGAGCCTAGGATTTGAACCCAATTTCTTTTATTGTCAAGCCATGTTTCTTCCTACTGTACTAATGCTGCTTCCAAGAAAAAAGAAAAGGCAATACTTTCTACCCATCAGAAATAATCTTCTCATATCAACTTTGAAGTCAAAGTTTTGTTTACAGTATTTCAAGGAAAAGAAAATCACTTTAGAATGTTGAAAATTACCTTGAAAGATATTTTTAATTCTCTTGCTAGAAAGAGCTGAAAAGGTTTATAAGAAAAAATATCATTTTAATATTTCTATTGGCATAATAATTAGCTCTATAGAGATGATGTATTCTCAAAAATTTTGTACTGCATTAGAGAAACTTGAGTCTTAAAGATATACCCATTTTCATCTTAAAGTAATGTCTTATATTGTAATTTTTAAATATCTCCCTCCCTCACTGTTCTGTTTATTCCTTAAAGGACATGGATTGCTCTCCAAATTTAAAAATATTTCTTTTTTTTTTTTAAGTGAAAATTCCCAAAACATTTGACATGACCTCTGATGATTTTTAAAAGCACTTTTACTTTTGCTTTCAGAATTTCCTAGAGATTCTATACATTTACAAAATATGTTATATACATGTTAAAATTAAGATCTCAAATGGAAATCAAGTGTGTCTTTGCCACTACACTGGCTGTTAATAGTTTTATAGTGTTAGTAGCCTTTTATCAAATTAAACAAAAACTATTAAGTTTAGTAGTCCTGCCTGGTGAATTTGGTTGCAGGGAATTTAATACATTTCTAAATATATATGGCTATCAGGCTTACAAAAATCTTTTACTAAACTAAAATCACTTCTCTAGTTCTGATTGTGTCTGTGTGTGTTATTTTATTCAGTGATTCTACTAATGTGCATAAGGGAAAATGTACAATTTTACTGAAGCCTGGAACAGCCTACAACTTGATGCACTCTATTTTGTTTGGATGTTTGGCTTTTAGTACCATGAGGTATTTGTTTATTTGTATATTTTTTCCATTTTTTAATGTCATTTTAGCTATATATTTAGAAACTGATCCTCACCCCCTTAATGATAACAGTACTCATGATTTTCTCCACTGATTTTCCCTCTCCCAGTAAAAGATATAGATAGCTCTATGACAAGTTAGTCTTGAAAGAAAGCGCTCATTTATGACTTTTATAGTTATTCACAAAGGTTATGCCAGAGAAGTATCTCATTGTTTCTACACTTTATCTTTTGATAGTTATTTAAGAGCATAAGAAAGCTGTCAGGTTCATATTTTATTATAAAAGTGCCTAATTTTCAGAAATTATTTAAATTCAGTTAGTACCTGACAAAGTATGTATATTTCTAACCTTACAGAATGAAGTATCTTTGGACATCACATATGTGTGTGTTTGCATCATTTGGCTTATGCAGCAGTGATGTATGGGAGTTGCTTTTAAAATTGGTCCATCTCTACACACCAAAGAGGGTCAGTGTTATGCTTTTATTTCATTGTTGCATTATCTTACCGATTTCTTTTATACCATGTTTTTAAAAATTACTTTTTTCAAAGGCTATCGAATATCAAGCTATTTAAATATGGAAATTAAAAAGCAGGCTGTTTAGAATTTTATAATAAGGAAAACTTTTAATAAAGGTTTGGGTGGTTTTTGTCTCCAAATAGTGCTTTGATTTGTTCTTCCATATAAATTCACTAGGTGGCAATATGATAGAAGCTACAAATACCTTGACACACACTTTGAATTGGACCCTTAGATGTCATTAGTTCTCCTGAATTGTCAATAATGGATTGTGTTAAGTTGTTTTTCCATTTTATGGAAGATAAATATCTACAAGTTAGCACCTGAAAGAAAAAGTGCCAAAAATGCTTGTAAACTAATTAATGCTTTTTTCATGTAGATGAAAATGATGAGATATTCAGTACCAGTATTAATACTCATCTATCTTTGCTATAAGGTAAGTCTAGTTTTCATTTTTGCTGACATTAGCCCATTTAGCTATAGCCTATAACCTAGGATTTGACTTAACCTTATTTTTGGTTTATTTTTCATAAAGTCAGACTAGTCAGTAGTCAAAAGAAGTGTTTAACTCTTGATAGTAATTTGCAGAAAACATTAAAACCGGTCTTTCACTTCCAAAATAACTTCTAGTAGCTCAACATAGAGCAAAAATTACATGAAATTGGATATTTATAGTTGAGTTTTCAAATATTCAGTGTTGAATTTACCTAAAGCAGAGTCTTAGGATATAAAGTTGTGCTCATGCTTTTTTTTTGGTTTGAATTCAGCAGAAAATTATTAGTTTTTTCAAAAGCTCTACTTAAATAGTCTTAGTATTTTTTTTTTAATCATCCATCTTTAGGTCACTAATAGTCAGAAATGACAAAAATCCCCCAAATCTGGTGATTTAATTCCTAGAACAACATTGATTCTACTTCAATTCCTAAAATGTTATATCAGAAAAAATTAAGGCTTTAGTTTGGCCTGCTACTTTACCAATCCACTAACATAATAGTGAGATTTAAATTATTGAATGACCTGATCTAGGAGATTTCTTTAGTTAACAGTTTTGCAAGAAACTTTAAAAGTCCTAAATAAGGCACTTTACTTGCCTTTGACTTAGTTTAGTTTAGATTGTGATTGCTTCACATCTTTTCAAAAAGATTTTCTTTTTTCATTAGGTTTGGGCCTTTAAAGTGGTTTCTTCTGGATGGAGTGTTCTGTGACTTGATTAGTTTCTTCTGTAATGTCCTTCAATTTTCTTAAGGAAGAGGAAGGGGTCAGGAGGAGGTCACTTTCCTCAATAAAACTTGAAATAGCTAAACTAATTATACCACATTGGTCTTAATATAGGCTACACATTTCTCTCAACGTCTAGTTTGTATGAAACTTGAAAGTGGCCCATAATCCTGCTGTTACTGTCATAGGCACAGCTTAAATTTTGCTGGCTTGTGCAATAACAACAGCTTCCCTGCCAGCCATCCCTATTCCTAGTACTACAAGAAAAAGAAAGCATATCCCTCCCATTTGCATGCTGCTAGTGGGACTTCTTGCATCCTTGCCTTTAGAGATAGGGATCTCACTATGAAGCCCTTCAGCTCTCTTTCTCTCTCATATGGCCCCAGAGCTGCAGAAAACTCTTAGGAATTGGGGAGGGGATGGAGGTCAGCGTAGGTAAGCATCACTGAAAACTTCCTTCCCATAGGGTTTGTACATTGTCCCACTGCTTATCCAGGTTACATTTTCCATTTAAAGATAGATGCTACTCACAGCTAAAAAGACAAGGAGAAAAGTAGAACTGTCACAGATCAGCAAAGTAAGTGAGGGAGGAAAGGAGGTGGATAAGTGTGGTGGATCCCGGGAGAAGGTGGGATTTCCGAGTTTGAAACTGAGGGGAGGAGAAAGAGAGGGAAAGAACAAGATAGAGTGGCCTACTTCCTTAACCTCAGAAAGCCTGGCACCTTTTTTGTTTACCACTCTAAATGTCTTCACTTCCCTAATTTTTAATTTGCTATGATGCCTTGCTATCATGTCTTTTTAAAAGATCCTGTATTAAGAGAGTAGCCTGTATTCAAACCAATATGGCAGTATCAGATTCTTACACACACATTAAATTCTTGGATCTCAGTGTCAGGTTGCAAGGGGTTTTTAAGCTATAGAACAGTTCAGTCTGGTTCTTTCCTCTTGCAGCCCATATACCAAAATTGGAGTGATAGAATATTCTATCTGTGTACTGTGCAAGGATGATGTACCCAATCATAGCACATTCTGTGTGTGCTTGTTTTTTACAGACAAGTACAAACTTTATTTAAAACTACATTTTAAGTTTAAAGTTACAAAACAAATAACAATAAAAAAATAAAAAAGAGAACAGTGCAGTTAGCCTCGAATCTAGGGAGGATCCTGTCTCTCATGTGTGACCTGCCTTAGCAGAAGAAGTGAGTATTACCTATTCTGAAAGGCAGTGGGTCAAAAACTAATTTACATTTTTATACAGGTGGAAACAAGTTTACTTAGTGCTCATGAAAGATAGGCATTTGTGGAGGGGCAGGGGCAGGCAGGCAGTTGGAGATCTCACGTGCTTTGGGTAGCAACAGTCTCGGGTTCTTAATTGACATTCTGTATTTTTAATGTTACCTCTCTCCTCTCCGAGAGGTGGGAGACTATGGGTACAGAATGTGAAATACACTATCTGAAGTGGACTCTGTGTCAGTTGGTTTTGCTTAGCTGTTTTTCTCTGTCACAGAGGAGGCTTCAGTGGCAGGAGGGCATATCAAGAAATGACTAGTATTAAAACAAAAACTGAAAACTTTTGAAAAATAAAATGAAGAGTGAGTTGGTCAAAGTTTTGGGTTTTTTTAAAAATTGTATCACTTGCCAAGAAAGAATAATTGTCATAAAAATTGGGGCTATAAATCATTGAAATCCATAAATAATACAAAGGCTTCACTGTAGGCAGAAGTTTTAACTTGCTTTCTCAAGAAACCAATAACCAGAGATGCTACCAACTGATGTGAATTTTATCCCTTTTGGCTTCCCCCTTTGCCTTACTTGATGAGGTATGAATGAGCAATAATAATAAGCCAAGAAATATTTTTGTGGCAAACAGGGCAAAGAATATGGATAATCAATTAATTGGCTATTTCAGACCTTAAATAATCTAGAATTGGTTGAAGAATTGAAATCTAATGTTTCAAGTTAGACCTTTAGGGCTGATTGCCTAGTAGCATTTGGTTGTACTATTTTGTTCCCTAATTTTTTTAGAATCTTATACAGTCATTGTCAGTGGTGATCTAATGATAGTCATTGTTTTTCTAAGATGTTAAAGTATATTAGTACTATTTAAATTATTGTACATAATGCACAATATGTAAAATGGTTATACATATAGTATGAGCCTTGATATTTTCTATACTTAATTAGGCATTCTCTACCCTTCTCCCCGCAAAAAAATCCTGGAAACTTTTTTTTAATCTGCTACTCAGAAGTCCAAGAGAAGTTTGACTTCAGTAACAAACACATACATACGTATATGCAAATATGCATGTATATGTTATATATGTGTGTATGTACATATGTATTATACACATGCATATTCACTTTGCTGATAACAGTTGAGCTTCCTGAAAATTAATAGTGTGCACTTAATATCGATGACAGTTGTGGGAGTTAAGTTTTATTTTTCATTTTAGTTCTGGCCAGGAATGATGGCAGAGTTATCAGAGTTGAGAGAATTCTATGACCCAGACACAGTGGAGCTGATGAACTGGATTAAGTAAGAGGTTTTATTAAGTTTTTCAATTCAATACAATGCTTTTCATAGTCACCTGAATTTCTTTGTTTTCACTTGTGAGGAAATGCTAAGCTGTATTGTTTTTGTTTAGATCTTTATATTTAAAAATTAATTCTTTCATTATTCTCTCCAAGAATAACTAACTCTGTATGGGAAGGTGTTCATTTTATGGAGAAACAAAGAGGATAAATGCGATATCACGTGACAGAACTGAGATTATGTGATTGATAATCCATTTCTCTTCCTATTTGCTATTAGACCTGCTACATCACGCAGCCTCCTTGCATTTTAGAAATCTCTATCAGACATGCCATGACCATTATTTTCTTCGGTTCTTAACTACCATTCTAATTTTCTAACAATATAGACACATGAATATGTCCTTGGCTTGTGAATGACATAATTTTGATTTTGTACAGAGAATTCAGTAGTCAGCCGTTTTGAGCCAGATTTCAGTTGATTTGGTCATATCATTCAATCTCAAACCTTGTGGGGAAAAAAAGAATAAGCGGCCTTTATCTTGAAAGTTGGAGTGTTGTACTATAGCATTATATTGTTTTTTATTTTTTCCTTGAGTTTATTACTGGATTCAGTATTCCACATCTAAATGAAGTTCATGCGTTTCAAAGCTATGTTGATAAAACATGCCTCCTACCAGCAGAAATAAACTTTCTACCCAGAGCAGCATTCTTATGCCCCATAATACTACATTTCCCTACTTTATAACCTAAAAGCAGCAGTGTAATTATTCACAAGTAAATAGATGTTGCAAATCTTATGTGACATATTCTGAAAGCATTGGCCATGTTGTCTCCATCACTTAGGATTTTAGTAGCCATATTGACACTTTCTCATGACTAATGTTTACTAACCAGTACCATTTAGCACCACTTGTGTATTAAGAGATGGTAAATGTTTGATAGCTTAGGTCTCTTGAGTGCAATAGATGGAGTTTTATATAGATTTATATATAAAATATACATGTGGCTTTGGTCCCAATGTTGGACTGGGTTTGACTGGATGCAATGAGAATAATTTTTCACATGTTCCTAGTGCTGAGAATGCTAAACTGTTCTTTGTCTTTATTTATTTATTTATTTCGTTTTAAATCATGGCAGACAATTACAGAGTAAATTTTTCCTGCAGTATTTATTGTGTATGGGGAAAGAATATTATTCATATAAAGAAAAGCTAATTACTTTTGCATTAACTATAGGCAACTGGAAATTTATGACACATGCATCTGAAGGTGGGATGGGTATTTTCTGTTCTTAAAATTATGCTGCTAAAGATTAATGCTATACAGCCACCACCACCTGGTAGGTCTGAAGACTTAAAGGCTGTCAGGATTTGCATTAAAAACTCCCATTTTCAGGAATTAATTATTTAGTCATTAAAAATTTATCCTGGCAGGGCCCCAGATTGTCTCAGGCAACCTCAGCCTAGAAGTACTTGCTTGCAGCAGCCTTTGTTTTCATACTTTCCCCACTGGAAAAGATTCAGGGATTTTCAAAATATAATCTGTTTGTGAAAAATGGCAAGAATGATCTGGGCATAAAGAGGCACTATCTAATCTGTTTGTCACTCAAGTTTATACTTCATCAGTGTTGGTCTTTCTGACTTGGGTTCCTCTTCTGTTAAAGTTACCATTATTAGACAATGCCCTTGGTGCCTTTAGAGTTTTTTGGATGAGTCTGGCAAAATACAACTATGACTACCCCCATTGTGATACAGTCTCTTTGACAATTTTCTTTTAAAATTCCCCAAGTCTAAATTACAATCTGAAGAAAAATAGCTGCCAGGCATGTTTGTAAAATAAGCTTAAGTGATGATAAATGTAACCAAAACAGGGTCTATTTAAACATACAGTGTTTGCTTAAATCAGCAAATTAGCACTAGTCCAGCATCCAGATCAAATTGAATTTGAGCTTTACTTTTCTTTTTTAAAATTTGCCCATAGCAAGATTCCTTTTGCTTTCAAAACTGAAAAAAAATGACCTGCAGCACTGCTGGTGTGTGTACTTTGTTTCCTTCCTTAGCAACATGACTTCTTTGGTATCAAGTATGAGAAATTCGAGTTGGGAAGTGACATAACCATATCTGAATTTAAGGAAAACAACTTTGGCAACTGCGTGGAGGATAAGCCGAAGTGAAGTAGAGGTGTTAGGAAGGGGGACCAACCAAGAGGGAAAGATAACGAATATTTTGTTTTGGACATAATTGAGTTTGAGATATCTCTAGGACATCCAGTTTGAAATGTATAGTAGAAATTGGTGACATGGGATTGAAGCTCAGGAAAGAGACTAAATATATAGATCTAGGAGTCAGCATAGAGATGATCATTAAACCCACTGGAGCTGATGAGGTCACCAAGAAAGAGAAGACTGTAGAAGTCTTTGAGGGGAGAGGCTAGTTTTGCTTTTGTGTTTGTATCTGCATTGTTTAGCACAGCACTTGGCACACAGTAAGATCTTATATAAATGCTTTTTCATTCATTCATAAGACCTTTTCTATGCCAAGACTAAACTAACCAGAACCTGTGATTTCCTTCTGGTTATCAATTTCAGCTAACATACAAGGTGTACTTCTTTATTTGTTTTTTTAAGTTTTCCTTTTATGTGTAAATAAAAGTAAGTTTTCTTTTATTAAGGATATCTACCATGGAACTCGCTAGTTTATACCCCTTGTCAATATCACATCATTTCTTTTCCTGCTTTATGGATTCATTTTCTCTTCTGAAAATTTCTTCTGATGCTCTGCAATTAAGAAAAATGGGCTTAGAAAGTTGAATCTCTCAACATTGTGGCTGTGGTGGAATTTGTTTACCACTACTTCTTTTTCTTTAATGAAACTTACAGATGCAACAATTTTTCATTAGGTTTAAAAACAAATTCACCAAGTTTTCTTAAGCAGTTTAACCAGAGCAGAATGAATTACTACATGTTTTAAATATGAAGCAGGTTAAGTTTAGACCTTAAATGCCTTTAAACCTCTTATTTTTAATGAATCATTCTGTGGTATTTGCATAATTCTATAAATTCTTGAAGTGTAGATAAAGCAAACGTTCATACGTTATATTATAATGGTCAGTTTACCCATTAGTTCAACAGTAATTAACTTGTTGAGGCTTAGAGCTTCAAAAATAAATGAGATTATTTGTTCAAAATGCCATCAGGTCTGTTTGGAATGACATTTAAATTATATAATGTAAATCAGTTTGACCTGTGAGTCCTTGTCATTATTTAGTGACATTTCTTACAGAATAAATTGTTTGCAGGTTGGGCAGCCTGCTATGGAGCTTGGCAGAAAGCTATAAAAACAAATTATCCTTTCATTTTATACATCATTTGTTCAGACATTTGTAAAAATTGCTTCATTTTTCTATAATAGAGAAGTGTCATTCAGTGGTTTGAAGCACATTAGCTGTTTTAGATACAGACCACAACCGTTAAGAGACTATATCAGGTGGAAATATTCTCAAAAGAAGAATGCACAGACAGCTCTACCTGTCATACAGCTAATTTAAAGTTAAGTTCTAGGAAGCATTTGTTTCTTTGTGTGATAATTTTATCACAGAAAATCCTATGACTGTGAGTTTGTTTTCACCGAGGATAAAATGAAATGCTTAAAGACTATCAGTCAGTCAACAAACATTTATAAAGGGCCTACTGTGTGCCAGCATTTGAACCTGGAGTTGAGGCGAGAGGTGAGGGGAAGGGAAGAGAGGGGAGTGACATGTTCAAATTTGTGCTTTATAGGAAGATCACTTTGACAGCTGAAGGGAGGACTGATTGAATTGGAGAGTCTTGTGGTGGGCATAACAACTGACCAACTATTGTAATAGTCCAGGCATGAGGTAATGAGGGCCTGCACCAGTACAGTGGCTGTATCAGAGGAGAGATGCTGCAAAGGTGAAGTCTACAGGCCTTTGCAACAGAGCGGGGAAGGGGTCTGGGTGAGGGTCAGGGAGGAGCAGAGTTCTAAGATTTGAAATACAACTGTTTTATAAACCAAGAAAGACGAAGTCAGACACACACAGTCTCTGCAGTCTTCAGAGCTTAGTGGTTTATAAAGCAACAATATTAATAATTAACCTTGAGGAAGTTATAGCTCTTGGATTTTACCAGAATTTTGTTGTCAGGATACTTAATAAAATGAATATAGTTTAATAACTCACATTTATATGTAGCTGTGGTTACAAAGTACAGTGTTTGTAGCATTGATTCACTAGAAATAAGTTGTCTCTGATGCAGTCTTTCCAGTTATGGCTAATGTTCACAGCAGGACAAAATAAGCAGTATGGCATGTGAAAAGAGCACTAGATTTGGCTTCAGAAGGTCTGATTTCAAATCTCACATTTGCCTTGTGGACCCTAAAATAAATATAAGCAATGCTTCTTGTATAAGATATTAGAGCATCTGCCGTAGAAGGTAGAAGATGTTAGAAAGGGAAAACATCATAAAGTTAGATATTCTTTTTTTTTTTTTTTTTTTTTTTTGGCTAGGCAATGGGGTTAAGTGACTTGCCCAAGGTCACACAGCTATTAAGTGTTATGTGTCTTGAGGCCTGATTTGAACTCAGGTCCTCCTGGATCCAGGGCCAGTGCTCTATCCACTGCACCCCCTAGCTGCCCTAGATATTCTGTTCTTAAGGATGTGAATTATTAACCTGGTAAGTCCTGGTTCAGGAGTCAAAGGACCAGTGTTCAAATCCCATCCCTGACACTTGCTCTGTGTGTGTGCCATCTCCCTTGTTCATCTTTAAAATGAGGGGAGTGGGCTCTGTGATACCTTCCACCTCCAGATCTGTGATCCTAATGGACTGCCCCCCACAGTGCAGTACCAATATCTGTAAGACCCTTGCTAGGTTTTTGTTCCATCTAAATCTCTAAAGCAGGATTTCTCTACTTTTTTGTGTCCCTTTGGCGGTCTGGTGAAGCCTCTGGACCCCTACTCAGAATAACGTTTTGTTGCCTGCCTTTA